TCGATAAATGAGGAAACAGACGACATGTCTAGCAGCAGAGTCGATGATTAATAATATCCATGCCTAAAGAACACTATCACCAGCATCGTCTAGTTCATAACTTATTTCACTTTCCACCAAAAGGAAAATTAAAGGAACACAATAGGAACAAACATGGGAAGTGTATGAAGTTTACATACTATATTCTTGTGACTATTTTCAGTGTGCTAGACTTCAAATTCTCCACCTTAGTCCCTGAAAATATCGGCGTACCGTGCATGGGCTGTACTGGACTTCAGAGGTTTATAGAGCTTGCAACAGGTTTATAGAGCTTGCAACGATAAAAATGAATGCCAACTTCTATTATTATTGCTTCTAGCAAGGACTATGTGTTTTCTAAACCTTTGATTGTATAGGCGTCTTCTACAGATTGATAAGGGATTTAAAATCTCTCTTGCTATGAATAGAATATGAAGAAAGTGTCTGTCTTATATTCGTGATCTACAATCTGGAAGCCTAGCTTTTCATCATAATGAGTTATGGGACAACATAATTTGAAAAATGTTGCATACTTTTCTTGGATCTTGTTTAGTCCCTTTGGATTTAGTTTGGGTGAAAAGAGAAGGAATTAGAGTTGCTCATGCACTGAGCAGGCAAGCTAAGAATGTTGATTATCAAAGTGTAATTGGTGCTCATTGCGCCTAATTGCGTCCAACTTTCGTTTTTGGGTCATTCTTACAAACAAATCCTATTCTTTTCTCTCAAAAATTACAGAATTTAAAATAGGAAAATATTAGAAAATAAAATCTAAGTTTTTCTTTCAGATATATTATTTTACTTGCATAATAAATACATTTTTCAATCAATTTATTTATGTTTTCAACTATCTTTTCATCACACACACACACACACAAAAAGTGTTACAATAATCAGTTTGAATGATGTTTCAAATAACATACTATAATTCAATATAATGTCTTCTTGAGAAGAAGATTTTGAACTAAAAACAAGCAAATCTCACACAAAAGCGTTCAGGACCCTCCTAATCCCTCATATTCACATATCTTAATTTTTATTTTCTCATTTAATCAGTATATACCTTGACGGTTATCCTTATGTAGTGTCAATCTAATTTACTACTCCCTCCGTCCCACTTTGATAGTCCTATTTTCCCTTTTCGTCTGTCCCAAATTGTAGTCTACTTTCCAATTGAAAAATGTAGTTGTATTTTAAATTTCCTAACATACGGTTATTCAATATAAGTTGTCGTTAGTATAAACCTACCCCATTCAATGAGTTTATTCTTTTTTTACTATCAATTCAAATTCTCATAAAGTTGTACTCTAATTAATATGAAGGTATTTTAAGAAAATAGCTACCTAAATTGATTGTTCCAACAAAATTAACTACTTTTTCTTAAACCGTGTGAAAAAAGAACCAAGACTATTAAAGTGGGACGGAAGGAATATCATTTTTCTTTTCTAACTTTTAGGTCCTTGAGAATTTGGTCCGAGCACAATTAGGATGTCAGAACATACCTGTAAGATGATAGGAAACATTTTTCACTTTCTCCATTCTCATGGAATGTCTTTTGCTTGCATTTATCAATTTTTTTTAATACAAATTCAAGTACAACATTGTTATAAATGGTCCTGTACTGAAAAAAGGGGAATAAGGATGAATCTATCTAATTTATTGAAAGGCACGAAGGAGTAAAATAACCTTCGGCCAAACTAAAATCTAGATAGGAAACGCAATCAAGTAGTTGAACCCCTTGACTAGTGTCCAGTGAGGAGCTTTAGTTCCTTTTGGTGGCCGCTAGACCAAGAACCAGTAGTTGCATTTATCATGTAAAAACACAATGAAGAAATTAACTTGATATATTTCCTTCTGCATGCACTTAGTTGAGGCGACATAAGGTAGAAGAGATGTTTTAATATCTAACACAGACGAATCAGACAAATCATATGACCCTCCAATCAACTGTTGTAGTGCAATTGCTCGTGCCTTTGATCTCACTGCAGTAACTATTTAGTTAAGGATGTTGCTAAATATCATTACTACTATGAAAGTATCGAGGTTAACAAATGCATGATATCTAAAGATACATTTGCCCAAGTATGCTAAATTCTAAAAGATATTTCACTTTTTTACTAAACCCTAGTTGCATTTACCACAATTTACGCTACCAAAACTTTTTCTGTAAACTCAACATGGTCGTATAACGTATAACACTTGAAACCAGACGCCTGCATGATGCAGAAAATGTCTTCTCAGCTCATTTTACCTGAAATTGAAAATGTTCCGCCCCTGCAGGGCAATAAGCACCAGGCAACACTCCTCACGCCCATCCAAGCCAGTTGCTGGATACATGCCTTTGAGCCAGGAATTTTACAAAAGCATCTATTCCAAAAGTGATGGCACCAGTCCTGTGATTCAGATACGTCTGATCACCCGCATGTATGCCAGTCTTTACAGTTTTCAACGCATCCATCTTCCCATCTTCAAAGTCATTATTTTTCTTTTCTTGTTCGCACGATGCTTAGCTGCAATCCTCAGCTTTCTCTTAGCATTTCGAACAGGATTAACCACAGCCATGAGCTTTTCTTCGTGTTTCCTCCTATCCCTCTTTGCTTTGAGATCTTTCTGTATTTGACTGTAAACTTGAACAAAGTTCTGCATTCCCATGTTATCTCGAATGCTTTCACAAACCTCTTGTGCTAACTGCTTCATATCATCTGCCAGAGATTATTGAATAATGATGTAAAGATACTGTGTTTTAAGAACATCAGCGAGCAAAAGTGATTACAGATAACCTTGCAAGGTGAGATCCATTTACTTCATTTTCCCGTTGAACCAAAAAAACACATGCTTGTGAGAGTATATTTGAAGCCATCAAGATGCAGGGTAATATTTCTTTTTCTTCCCACAAAACCTTTTTGGTTTGTATGGCTTCCCAGCACAGGCATGATTTGATGCTTAAAGACTATCACAGGTACTAATAAACTTGTTTCATTGTTAACTTTTTGAATAGAAAGCAATCTATTTCACAAAACAACGCCTTCCAATTAACCAGAACAAAATTTTTTCACACAGCAAATCTCCAATGCTACTTTTGCACTCCCCATAGGTGAATTGAACGTTATTTGATAAACCACTGGAAGCAAGAAAACATTGAAATACATCAGTTTAGAGAGAGTAGGAAAAATCTTTTCCGACCATATTGCACATTGAATTTCAAGTAGATAGTGTGTAACAATTGTCATGATTCATTCAAATACGGACTTTTAAGTAATTTCATCTTTTAATTGTCCTGGTGCAGGGAAGATGACTTTATTAATCAGATTAAAAGGGAAAAAAAAAGATATCGTCTAACATGAAACTAACACCTACAACCATCACTTTTCCATATAAATTCGGACTCAAACAAATTAATTCTATTAATGAATATCTTTGCTATTTTTAAGAACGAGATCCTCTTCAAGTTTCAGGAGTCAATACCATGACATCCAGCTGTATGAAACAGAAAAAAGCAACATAACAACTGTTTATATTGCTACTCAGCACTTTATTACGAACCAATAAATTATGTCAACAACCATTATTTACAAGTCACGCAGTTTAATGAAAAGTTTGCTTCCCAAACACATCTAATCAACAAGAAATTCAATACCTAAAAAAAAAAAACTACTACAACTACTACAGACATTTGAAGGTAATCAAAGACGTGCAACTGGATGGATCCTAAACACAAGGAAAAATCCGTAAAGATTGAATACAACGATAAATCTGTAAGGCATAGGGGACCATTATGCCAATTCTTGAGTTCATCAAAATTTAACACTGGTGGAAAATTTTCCAGATAAAGGAAACCCATCATAAATCATACAGGAGTAAAATAATGCAAGACAATAGTAAAGAAAAAGACAGGAAAAAACTTAAGACTCATCAACCAGAAAAGATTGCTACCGCAAGAAAATCATTTCAATCAACTAGACAAAATTCACAATGAAGTACACAATGCACCTAAACAAGAAGAATATGATCAGACTAAGAACGTATATTTTGTTAGTCTTTTATATCGAGGAACAATAATCTAGCTAGCAATTTGACAACTGCACTTCCTATATTTTTCACATGGCAAGAATAACATTGATTTTTTCTGAATATAAGTATCAGAATAATGCAAACAAGCTTCGGACTTGTAACCCTTGCAATTATAAGCAATAAAGAAACAGGGTAGAGATGGGAGAAAGACAGACTGTGTAGAGTCATGGCATTTGGAGGGCAGGCAGGTGGGAAAAGATGGATAATGCACCTCTGTCAAGTAATGGTATCAGAAGAATTTACCTGAAACAACTCTACCGGCATATCCTTCAGAGACTTTGTATAGAGGTACCAGCATCTGGTAAGAATAATTTTGCCCACTATCCTCCAGGACCAGTGTTGTATTCTTGTATTCTCCAAGAAGTGTTGGTGAGATCAACTTGAAACAATGGAATACAACTTTCATCTGCACAAAAACATCACACGGAATTTAAAAATTTAAAAAAAAAAGGAATTCCAAGATACTGAAATTTGAAACATGGTAATTTGACCTGAACAGACCCGTAATGCAAAAAGGTTCTCATAGATGTTCCATAAATGCTAAACACTACGCTCTTACAAATTCTACAAATACAAGAAGAATGCGAACATCATAAACAAATGAAGAGTTTTGAGATTCAGTGCACCTGTATAGTCTCCATTGCCAGAGATATCCTTCCCATTCTTTTGAGCAGATAAGAAACAATAAAGTATTGTTGGGGCTTATTTTTCTGTTCACTGTGTGGCACACCAAGGTCAGAGGTAAGATATGCTAATGTGCCCTTCCCTTCCTTGAATCCAGCATATGGAAAGCTTTTAAGAAACAACCTTGCTCTTTATCTTCAAGCTGAGACCAGAACTTTGGAAAATCAACATATTCAATCTGTCGTAGGAGCGAATGCAAATGACAAATTGTAAAGACAAGGTTATGCGTAATCAAGGTGCTGGCAGCATCATCTGGTGGCTGTGTTTTCAGTTGGTAGCAAAGTGAGGCTGCTATGTGGAAAAGTCTAGTTGGTCTCATGAGAAAGCATGCTTCTCTGCAAGATTCAGTTACGTGTGTAAAGTACAATGTCACTAAACGACTTGATATGTTTCGCAACCACAAAATGTGGGTGCAATAGGAACTCGCAGATCATCTCCCATATCTCCTGTAAGAAACCATATGTAGAAGACGTCTATAAGATCATCACCATAAAGGATAACGAAAACATAAAGGGAAACCTCAAAGATTCCTAATGTCAGCACAATTTGGCTATTGTCATCTTTAAAGAGGTTCAACTCAACTTCCTAATGGAAGCCATCGAGCATCTTCTGAGTATAATTCAATGGACAGAAAGGAAGTAAACAAGGAACTTTCTTTTGGGAACAGGAAAAGATAAATGTAGGGAAGAGAATACAGACAATAAAACTACAATGGAAAAGATAATGATAATATATCTAGCAGACAGATTAAATCAGTAATTTCACCAATCAAAAGTTGGCATTACAGAATAGGTCAAGCCAACAGGCCATTGGCTAACTTCATTTATCTTTACAAAGTTTACCTTTTGTTTCTCCATTACAAAAGCGGCAGCAGAGATAAAAATATATCGTCAAGTGCCTTCATTAAGACCTCTACGCAACAAGAGAAGATGTTCTTTACAAGTACTCCAATGAAAAATCTCATACTAGTCAGTATTAGGTGCCAGATACATGGTTCAACTTGCATGTCTGACACTTGCAGACATATTAAGATCTAAAACTGAACATGCAACAAACACAAAATAGGAAAGTCATTGTGAGAGAGAAATTTTCAAATTCTTCCTTTTGGTCCTCCTCTTCTCTAGATGCAGACTAACATAAGGCATCCATGATCAAGGCTTAATAGACAAGGTAGTTATGGACTTGTTTCTCCAAAGAAAACCAGAAACATCTACAATCTTCAAAGTCTTGCAATTAATCTTAAAAATAAACAAAAAAGGAACCAGCATAGTAATAATTCAAATTCACTATGAGGGACAATGTCTGTTTGGTTCGACAATACTAGACGCCAAAATTGCAGGTAGCATAAGGTCAAAGAAACCAAAATAGCTGTAATAACTGAACAAAGAAAAAAAAAGAAAAAAAAATCAGACATTCAAATAATCCACCTAAAAATTTCCTATGGCTTCATCGCCCAAAAGTTAACGGTTTCTTGGTATGATACTTGACGAAAAGAAAAACCTTAACATATAACTTATCATCCATCAGCTCGATAACAACACACTTTTTTAGAGTATGTTCTTTTATAGCTGCGAAGGATAAGAGAAATCTACAGAATCATCTTTTACCCCAAAAAAAAAAATCCTTACAAATTTGACATATTTTCAAGTTTCCAATGTGATAGACATACTAATTAACATCCATAGACTCCATAAAAATTCTCAGGATGATATATCTCATGGTCTATGCAGTCAACTAGCAGGATGATAAAAGTTGTGCCCTGTGTTGTCGCTGTTCTTCTCACTATAAAAAGATTCAAGTGAACTTAAAGAGTTGTTCCCCGAAAACTGTTCACATAAACACACAAACTAACACACATCCTTGTGCATATTGAAGCAATATGTACCTCAAGATCCTTCTCAAAGCATAGTTTCTGGAATTGGTTCAGTATCTTCTCCAGTAAAACCAGTGAATAATAAGCTTCCTTCCACAAGGGAACCCTGCTTCATTGGAGACATTCAGTTGGCTAATAGCAATATGATTGACAGCAGACTGAAGAATTCTTCTCATCATTGGCAGTACATCACTAATATGTTTCTGAAATCCTTGCTTCATAACTTCCACCAGTAACCCTAGTACCTACACAAGGGAGAAATGCAATCAGGCCGGGGGGGGGGGGTAAAAAGAAATCTGAAAAGCATGTCAGCAAATACTTCAGGAAAGCTATCTAAGATACATTATATCTAAAGGAATTAAAAATATGTAACAGATTTCATAAAGACTTGAGCCCTTACACTGAATGATTGCTATATGCAAAAAGGACAATATGTATATGGCTTGTTCATGAGTCCAACTAGACACAGGTAACCTGAAAGGGTCGAAGGCCGCCTGCTAAATGATGATGTTTAGAATTGAAACTTAGCCAATGCCCCCATGCCAACAAGTTCCTCATTATGTTTTGTTGTGATTAACATGAGAGAGAGAAAGAGAGAGAGCTTCTGCCACCAGACAGTCACTGTCTTATTGCATGTGTCAAATTTGGCAGTCTAGTGAACTCTTTAACCAAGATGCATTCCAACTATGCAAGTCCGTAGTGAAAAGAATTTCATTCTTCTTAGTTCTCTCATATAGGACAAATTGGGTAACTTTAGTTCAGCAATTTTGACGCGAAGTAGGTTTGGAAAAGTATTGTGTCAGAAGTTCTCCAAATTATACATCGTAGTTTGACAAAGCAAGCTAGGAAAATCCTTTTGCTCCAACTTCACTTTTTTCCTGGAATATTTGAAGCAGTAACACAAAACATCCATTTGGTTCATGGGATGATGCAGGATTGGAATACCAACCCATGTCATCCATTTAGTTGGATTTATACACGGGATCAATCATCTTTGTTAGCCAGAATAATGCCATGTCCATGGGATAAAATAATCCATGGGGGAGGTGGTATTATTTATCCTAGGATGACAAATTGATGTGATAAGAAACATTATTATTTTTAAGCTATTTTGCACTAAAAAGGGTACCCACTGGATTAAAGCTACTCTCACCAAACATAAAATTGGACTTTTTATGGGATATCCAATGAATAATCCAATACTAACCAAAATAGAAATAATTATATGAGACATCCAAGTATGAATTATCCATGGAGAACTAATCTCGTTATCTCTTCCCTAATCCCATACATGAACCAAATAAGCCCCAAGGAATTCATCCTTTCAAGTGGTGCCTTTTTAAGATATCTCATAAATTTTCATTTCTATGCATAGAATTTTCAAGAAACTTTTTTTTACCCAATTAATTTGTTAATATGCCCCACTCACAAAAAGAAAATGTACAATTCAAATGTTGTGTTGTAAAAGAATTTCTTTCTACCTTGATATTGATAAAAAATATTAATATAAATATGTACCTATATTTGATCTGGTAACATTTTTAATAAAAGAATCAAGTACCACACATAATCCATCGCTTTAAAGATGTTTCAAAACTACCTCAATAAATTAATAGTTTAGTTTACTCCTTACTGGTGATTTTTTTTAATACAGAAAAAATTCGTGTTCTACTTTAGTAGGTTCCTTACACCCCCTTGTCATTTTTAATAATAATGCATGCCGCTACTTCATATTTCTTACTGTGTATTTGTTATTGCCCAATACAATTTGCAGAGCTTTGTTTTCATTGTGCCCCAACTGAAAATTTTCTGGCTCCGCCACTAGTCAGCAGATGGAACCAACTAAAGGTATTTCAACTAAGTATCCATATATTTCCACTGAGGTTTTCTCATTCTCTTAACTGTATCCCATCTCCACATCAATGAAATTTCTCCATTAAACAGACTCATAATTCCTGATAGCACAAAAAAAAAAAAAAAAACTTCACCTATAGAACAGAGTCCACAACTTTACCTGTGCTGCAGCACTCCATAGATGCTGTTTTTCGCCCACATACCAGGAGACACTATACTCAAGAATGGATTTAAAGTGAGCGAGAACTGACACGCCCAATAAGCAGCTTTATAGAAGCACCAGTCATGGAACGGACTTTGTTGTCATGGTCATTAGCCAAACAAACCACCAGACGCACAAATATCGTCTGTGACTGCTCATCAAGAATACTTGCTGGAAACTTCATTATAATGGCATGCAGCATTTCAAGTACAGCTTCTCTTCCAGAAGAATGTTCATATCTGCATCCAACACAAAATATCCGTATGAGAAGTCATAACAGAGTAACAACTCCAACAACAAATGACTCTGCCACAAACACTACAAGAATTCAATAAACTTGCCTGAGATTCGCAAGAAAGAAATCAAGATGCTGCTGCAAGCGTTTCTCTGACAGATGATAGTCAAGCAAAAATTGGAGTAAAATTTGACTACATTTCTTACGTATTGATTCCACTTGGCTGGTTATCATCAGCTCTGCACCCTCTTGACGACATCATATATCTCAGGAACTACCAGCTTCCTATTCACTATTGATTTTAGAAGGGAAAGGGACACAATAGATGGATTTCTTTCTATGTCAACAAATAAAGGAAACTGAATTAACATGTGCAACTGATCTGCTGAAAGCGTAACACCAGTGTTATGAAGAAGCACAGTCAACAGCCTCAAACAAGACTCCACCAAAGGACTGCCAGCATTTGCTGAACGTTGAGCAATAAACAATAAAGAATTCTTTATCTTGTCAGACTGGGATTCAAGGGAGGGCAGAGGTAATCGTACCAGAGGAGAAAGGCATCTGAGTGCTGTCGTCACAATGTTCTCGTATTTTGAACTCAAGCAATCACCCAACAAGTGAACCAAAGGGTCTAACAGTGACAGCTGCTCCTCGTCTTTTCTGTTCAGTTTCATGCCCTTAATGTGATTTTGCAATAATCCAAGTGCAAAACCAGTAATTAAGTGAGAATATCTGGGCTCAAGATTTATTAACCTGTCTGAATTAATCATTTGACTATCCACCAAATCACAGTCTCCTTTCCCTGCCTCTGACATATATACGTGTTTGCGTTCATGATTTACATCATCTATGCCATCCTTAATGAGGCGATATACAAATATAAACAGTTCAGTTTGATCTACAGACGCATTAGACTGAATTCCATCAGCAATGTGATTCAACATATTCTCCAATTTCGATTTCTGTTTTGGAGATAGCTGCTTCTGTAGATGAGCTGTAACAAGAGAAAGGAGCTTCACAGCATGGGTTCTAAATGTGATGTTTTGCGCAACCAATTTGAGGGTTTCAAATGACTTCTGCTTCCGAGTCTCCTTCATTTTTGAAGCAATTTTGTCCACCTCTTTCTGCTCAGAAACATCTCCAAGTATATCAATCTCTATCACCGAAAAAAGATCTTCAAGACAAGAATCCAACTTCCCCCTAATGGGATTGATAAGAAACTTTGACAATATAAAATTCAGCGTATAACCAAGTGTGTGCAATTCAGATCCCCTTTTGAGGGTGCCCCTCAAGACTTTGACCATGAATTGTAGGTGCTCCAACCCTAGCTCCTTTAAACAAGCAGCCAAAGCCAATCTAGCCTCATCTCGAACACTCTCCAAGCGATGCTTAAGGAAGTTGGAGATGCGATGAACAATATTTGGAAGTTGCAAATTCATAATTTCACCAGGAAGTAATTTGAGTAACTTAAGGGCAACTAGACTGATGTTCACATTCACATTATCAGAATCAGATAGCAATTCTTGTATCTTGGGAAGCATTGTCTTCTGAATACACGTCTGTATATCAGAAAATTTAGCTGGCTGTGTGCATCTCCTCAATTCTCTAGAAGATATTCTCAAAAGCTTCGGCACGAAGACACCCTCTGCAGGAGTTTCAGAGAAGTGAAAGTGGTCCAGAATACAGCATATTAATCGCAATATGACCTTCTGCTTCTCTCGTTTAGTCATTTCTCGAAAGCAGTTCATTAATAGTTCATAGTACTGTTTCCAGGTCATGCAACCAGCAATTGATGCAATAGCCTCCATACATGCACTTCTGACATTTTCACCCTTCCCCTCTTGTACACCAAATAACAAATTGAAAAAGAGTGGGATAAACACTTTGGTGCTAACAATCTGGAAGGCAACAGCAGCAAAGAAAATAAAGTCATGCAAATGCAGGAAAATGGTAGGATGTGATGCAGTATAGAGCATATAAGAATTACCTCAGAATGATTTCCTGTACTAATGAACTGCGAAAATCGAGAAAGTGCCCTGGCTCGCCTGTGTTTCTGCATGTAGGAAAGGTGAACATATCAGAAGACAATACGTTTAGATCTCTGAATTGCCTCAAATGAAACTAAAGATCAACCATGCATGTCATACAATCGACCGCACAGAGGTCCAAAGCTACCCATAAACAAGTAATTGCACACTTAACCTCCAAATAAATTACTTGTATCGAATAGTACCAATACTTTAGATGTTGTCTAGCATGGCCAGAATATTACCGATAGCAAAACATAAGAACTACAAAGTAAGCTTAGAATTAGCATCCAAAAACTCCCTCACTGCAAATATTTCCCACTAGCTCCCTAAACTTTACAACTGACAATTAACCTAAGCCAGTTTGACAAAGCACCATGATAAGCCCTTTGCCAAGATAGTTTTAGTTAGCGATTATCAAATCCGTCGTCAAAGCAACTATAAGCAAAGTGATGGCAGATTATAGACTAATTCCAACCAGGTAGCATAGACCCAGATGTGGAGTCACTACTGTTCCACCATCCAATTCAGAATCCAGGGGAGGATGTCCCAATTAAGGGTCTATTCACTGACAATTCAAAAATCTGCCCAGTGGGTGATCCGAACAGGGCAGCAATATTCGAACTGTGACTTCAGATCCTACCAGTTTACAGCCATAAACAGCACCCTTGGTGCAATGAATAGGTATCATCCCTCGCCATTGCTAACGTGCTATAGCTAGGCGATGTTTTTTAATCGTAAGCATTGGAACAATAATATCAAATCTACAATGCAATAAATGATTTTAACTTGTACGAAGTTGTGGAAAAATCTAATTGCTCTGCCATAAACAAAAGACATATTCAAGTTGCATCTATGTTAGATCACTTATATTCAAAACTTCTCTCATTTTAGGTTTACTTCTTAAATGCTTTTCAATTTCCAATCTGGTATTGTCTCCTAAGCCAAAGATAACCAGCTATAACCATATATATGATGAGAAAAGATAGAAGAGACACAGTATACAGGACATCAATCAGTTATTTATACTTTAGACACTAAGGAAGGGAAGAACATGGTAGAACAGTTGAAGTGAATGCATAGAGAATAACAGCTTAGAACCCCCTCTATGGTGTTCATCTTGTGTATCTTCCTATGCTCATAAACTTTCACAAAAAAAAAAGGAGGGGGGCGGGGGGAACAGCACTAGCAACATGTATTTTTCTCCTAAGAAGTGCGTTTAAATTTGACACCCTGTTTTTGCAACATTCTTACTCAAATATATATGTAATACACAAGAAATTTAGCCATACTATCAAAGGAAAGCTATTCATTTTCATAACAGAAAAGGAAAGACGCAAGAACCCAACACCAAGAACAAACTCTGACGTGCATATATTTCCCAGTTAAAACAAACTCATGAATTACCTGTAAATGAATAACATTATTGAAGAAATCCTGCTCTGGATCTTGACTGTACAAAGTTCCATAAGATTCGAGGTTTGCAACCTTTGGAAGCTTCAACACCATTTCTCGCAGTAAATCAATCCAAAGCTGAAACCAAACCCACAAATATTTTAAACAAATACTTCCATCTTATTAAGAAAAGAGACAGAGACAAGCACCCCCAAAAACAATTAACTTTTGACTTAAAGCTTTATACCTTTTGAACAGAAGTTTCCCTATTCATTGCATTTCCCATATGCTTCAAAAGAAAGCTAGTTACAATATGTTGAATAAGAGCTTCAGTCCAGCACCCTTGATCAGATTTATCCTTTGACTCAACAATTTCAGAGGCAAATTCAACAAAGCAGAGCAACAATCTATATGCACTCTGCCGGAAGATCAACTCTTCAGATGACATGTCATATGCAGACTGAGACAAAATGATCAGTGCATGCTCTTTCCCCACCGTGTGGAAAAACTCCCTGTTGATCTTTTCATATGCACCAATTTAGTGTCATAATCAAGGGACCCAATATCCATTGTGGAGGTTGCATTCATTTCATTCAGAAGCTTTGCCTAGACACAAGAAACTGGGGGTTTACTAAAGACAATGATAACCTTGTAACTGAACCAGAAAGAAAAATAAATATTACCACGACAAAGACAGAAGAATCATCTTTAGCAAGAGCATTAAGAACATCACAAATGGACTTCCTGACATCCAGCCCAGCAAATGTAAGCAAGGGAGATACTGAACTCAAAATTTTAGAATTATTTTCACTTCCCACAACTTCAACCACAGATTGAAGTATCTGTAAAATGACAACACAAGAATCTGCCAAGGAGAAATTTAAAGAAAAAATTGGTAGTCAGAATAGGAAGTTGTAAGGAAACAAAAATACATCAAGCAATTATAAGCAAAAGTTAGAAGCAATCTTCAACCAGAGTTTCGGAGTCTCTTTGCGAGAAGTGGAAGCAAGATATCAACAAATTTCTTGGCTGTTAAAGGCTCCGTTATGTACTTCGACAATAATTTGAACACAAAGAGCTCGTTATCTGCAGGATGCCTGACCACATAACAAACGGCATCCACCCCATGATTAGGCAAAAGAAAAAGTGATCTATCAAATATTAGAACTTGTTTCATCTGTTTAACATGCAAATCTAAGCAATCTATACAACTTAATTGTGTCTGGTTAACCATCAATTTATTTAACCATAGAAGCAAGGGTTCTCCTATTGATGTTTCAGTGCTCATCACCCGAGCTGCAGTAGTACATTACCCTACAGAAGTTATTTCTTTAGCTTCTTCCACTTTACGGTGTAAATACATTTTCTTGTAGTTCTTTTCCTACTCAGTGACAAATGTATCAGTGGCAACTAGATTAGGTGCTTAGAGCACCAAATAAAACCTTTTTCAAGCATTGCATAGAAATTCATGCTCTTTATCAAATCAGTAGTTACAACAAAATCCGGTGTCCAAAAATGCATAGCATGCATCATTAAGATAGGTAGCAGCTATTTGTCAACTAACAGAGAGCTATTTGTTCATTAATACGACCAAAATAGAGGTAATAAGAAAACAGAAAGAACTATCATGCTAAAAGACACTTAAACATGAAAAACCTGAGACCTTTCCCTAGAAGCTAAAAGCAAATCAAATCAGAGCACAGGTTTATGAATCAACTAATAATACCTGCCCAAATAATAAATGGATTAGGCAAACTGTAGTACCTCTTTGTTCCACTATCAATAGTGAACAGACAGTGTAGACTATCTACAAGTACGTTGAGGTGAGGAAGCAACACTCTTTTGACAGAACCATCCTCAGTCCCCAGCTGACTGTCAAGATTTAGTAAGTTTTCAACGAACTTAAAAACACAAGATATGATCGCATCAGATGCGGTCGTGATGGTAAACATCGAAAATATATCGGGAACAAGATTCTTCTTTCTACCCAACAGTGGCACAAACTTGATGCTTCTACTGATAGCAAGGAAGCAAGAGAATAGTGAACTTGGCTTCTCACTACTCGCACCTTCTTGCTTAAAACTGCCTATTAAAGGACTCGCTGCTGTAAAGAAAAGGTCCCAAAACTCGGAATGAAAATCATGATTCTCATACTTAGCAAGAGCAGAAGAAACAATCTTCAGGCATAAAGATCTCAATTCCTTGAATTGCTTCACAGCTGTGCTAGTCTGCAAACCAAGATTACAGGTGAGAACGACTCTCACGGATTACCTTCATAATTCTCCAACGATTAATCTACTCAAACCCAGCTAGGGGACAAAGATATAGTTAACAAATAATTACAAATTGAGCTGAAGCATTTCTTGTTCCTGAATGGAAAACTATAGATGGCAATGCAATTAACAATAATCCTGCTAAAACTCCCATATATGCACCACTGGTTCAGAGGTAGAGATTAGTAACCCAATTTCAAATTCATTTTTCCAATATTAGGTTCAAATACTGCATTAAAATACAAAGGAAAAAGTTTTTAAATTAGGTTCAAATAAGGCATTAAAGTACAAAGGAAAAAGTTCTTAATAAACATACTAACTGAACTAGTTAAGCACAGTTTCAAGCTTACCACAATATCTATTTCCCTGTCAACAATATCATAAGCTGCTGCCACATTGAAGCCAGAATCAGTTAGAGACGGTTCTTTGCATTTTGAGCTCTCTAAAGCAGCCGTGCAGCTTTCGAGTACCCGTACAACACAGCCCATTAGTAGATTAAGAAAAGGATTTATATGGTATTCATCAAAAACAGCTAAAATCTCTTCAATGACATGCAAGAAACCAAATTTCTTCTTCCAAGAAAGCCCCTTTAAGCCATCCACAGTAAATTGCTTCAAGATGCTAATTGAATCAAATTCATCCTTAACGCTCTCTGATGAACTCAAAAGACACTGTCTGCTCACATCAGCTGTTACTGAAGTACCTTGAAGAGGCTTTATCAACAAGAAAAAAAATAGAGGAAGCTCTTGAATGTCAAGCTCAGCTAAGAATCCAAGTATTGCCCTTCTCTGATGTACACTTGCATGCTGGGTTAAAAATAGTACAAAAATCATTAAACCAAATGACATATGTAACAACAGTTAAAAAAAAAAAATAAGCATTCCAGAACAAACAAGAATACCTTTCGAGAAGCAAGAGTTTTTAGTTTCTTGACTTTTGGTACCAATATCCGAATGACAATAGGCACAATGAAATCCCTATGATGTTCATCGATTTCATTAGATTCCCTGGACAAGCTCCACGTCGTTAGCTCCTCTCTCAAATTCTTTGCATTGATCAGATCTTTCAGATGCTGACTGTAAGGAAGTAAGAATTCATCCTTCCAGTTTAAAAGGCAATCAAGAACCTTTAACTGTAACTCAGTATCTGTTTCATCCAGAAGCCTAGAAAATCCCAATAAAAACAGCATGAGTGTGAAAAAAATATATAAAGTAAACAATACAAATCCAGCAAGCTCTAAAAGAAATTTTGAATAGGTGTAAACCTATATAGAAAAACATCCTTGATGAATTGGCTCTGATAAAAAGACTTTGGATTCCGCAGCAACCTAAACAAGTTTAACAACTCTTTAAGGGCCTCCTTCCACTCTCTGCCCTTGCAACAATGTACATTGTATAACTCAACACTGCATCATCAAACCAACGAATCAAACAAAAGCTTAAAAAAGCAATCTGGAAGAGAACAGGAAATGAGTATATCTCAAGTAGTCTTGCATAAAGCCCAATAAATGGTTACCTCAAAAGATCATCAACACTATATCCCAGAAACTTCAAGAAAAAAGGCATTAATTGTCGTGACCGAGTTTCAGCTAGAAATGGAACTTTTTGCAGCGATTGAATCATTAATGAGAAAAGTGTAGCGCACGGCGTACTACCACATGGGGATTGATAGACAAATTGAAGTATCCAACCAAATCTGAGAGAAATACAAGGCTAATGAACAACGCCTATAATTTACAGCCACAAATGGGAAGCAGGAAAAGAGGAACATCTCAGATCAAGACAACAAAATCTCAAAACAAACATGTTCTGTTGTAAGTAACAATCACCAGTAAGCCATCATCTTCAAAAATTTAAATTTCCATATTAAAATGAAAAGGAAACAAGGATTGCTCCTAGCAAAGATCATAGCATAACATTAGCTCCTAGAGTAAGTATAATATTGTCTGTCGCATACCACTTGACTGATTAAGTGATTTGGTACCACTTCTGCTAGATTGATCACAAGATATCAGAAACAATGACTGACAGTGGTCCAGATATTTCATGTACGGTTCCCATACAATTCCAAAGTTTTGGCTTATTAGAACAGCAAGACACTCCTTAGCTGGAATCCATAAGTTGCTAAGCCGAATGTGGAAGATGCCAATCAAGCCATATAACAGGGCTGGCACATAATTCTCATCTATCCTCCGGGCAGATACATTCACCTGGATCCGGGATAATAGAAGCTCAATTTTTCTATCAGTAGATGAAGGCTCAGTAGTTTCAACTGAAAGGAGAAGCTCTAGAACCTGACACACAAAGTAATCATAGGGTCAACCTACTGACAACATTAAGAAAGGAAGTAACAGAAAAACTGCTCATACATTATCACCACGAACATCAACATTAAAGGTCTGCATAATATCATTTCCAGCAGTTTTCTCATCTGGCTGTCTGTTAAAAGAAGATTCAAACTTCAAAGGTTCATAGTGGCACAAAATTCTGAGGGTCGACCGTCGAAGCATTTGATCACAGTTGCACAGATTTTCAGCCAATATGTCTAATGCATCGATTACATTCCTGGCTGCAAGATCTGGGTGATATCTTCTAAAGCTGGTGCACCCTTTAATCACAGATCTTCATTGCAAATTAAACAAAGTTAAGAAAAGCTGAAGACTTTATAAATCCAAAAGAGAAATAGCAAGGTATTAGAGATTATGGGCCTATTCTTCTTTTCTTCATATCCTTAAAGTTGCTTTAGGCAAAGTGCTGCCCAAAACTCATTAAGTCTAAAAGTGGAATTATGGTAGTGAAGGTCTTCAAAGGAAATAGTTCCTTCCAGTAGCACCTCCTGTGATGCTTTGCAAAACAACTTTTACCTCCAAAATAAGCCAAAAGCAGAAGTCAAAAGCAAACAAGACCACAAAAGTAGCCTTTAGAGGATTAAAAAAAAATTAGAATCAGCTAATTTATGCCACTGCTAACTGGTAGGATTAAACAAAAGCGGGTGTAATGGAGAAATAAATATTCAAAGTACACTTAGGCTTACCCAAAATGTGAATCCAAAATATCAGCTATGGGGGCTAATATTTGAGAAGATGAGTGGTATTTTTTTGCCAGATACAGGAATTTGCTTATTGCAGACTCTTCACATCCAGTTCCACTGCTGGAGAGCATTTCTTTATAAGAACCCAAAGCAGCACCAATTAGGCTCTGCCAAGTAAGATCTGCCAATCCTGTCAAGTGAAAATTTTCAAAATATCATTGATAGCAGACCTAATTCTTCCAACTCTATAGAATAGAAAGAGATTCCATTTCCTAACACATCCCAGGTAATTAAGTTACCAATAATTTTATTCTTCCTGTGATTAATCATGTGGCACAACATAATTAGGATAAAACGATAGAGGTCTATTATTTAAAACAGAACCATCTCTTAAGGACTAAATCCACGGCATTATTTGTATACATTTCCTGCACAAAAATACCTACATGAGTAGGTTCAGAAGTTTGACATATATATATCTGATCTTAAAACATGTGGCATGGCATAAGTCTAAATGTGCTTGTACAAAGATTGTTTTACACTGAAAATGCACAAGAATTAAAGTGATGTCATGCACCATTGAATCTCTCATTGGCGTTGAATAAATGGAAATGAACAATAGAAGAAAATTATACCAGATTCAGTCATCAGAAGCTCATCGATAGCATTTACAAGGTCCAACAGTAATGTCAGATTCTCCTGGCCATTGAACAAATAGGGATAGCATTTGACAGTCCCCCACAGGAGAGCCAGCCTGCTCTGTTCCAACTGAAGAGAAGATAAATCTCCATGTAACGAATTACTGATCATTCCTATCCAGTAACTGATGCTTTGCTGAACCAAATCATAAATTCTTGAAAGCTTGTCTTTTGAGATACCATCAAAGAACGAGAAGCTTGGCATTTTAAGATTCTCACACAATCTAGCAGCAAATATACAGTTTCTTCTTCTGAAATGTTGGTTAAATCATTCAATGCACTGAAATCCAGTTGCACCATGTCAGAATCAACTAAATATAAGCTTCTCAATCATCATTAACTCAAGTCTATGAATAAGCAAGAACACAAAATACAAGATTCACTAAATTATTCAGAAGATGCATGAGTAATACCTTATAATATTAATCCTGAATATTTTGAGAACATTGGAGTCCCTTGACACAAGGTCTTTAAGAAAAGTCAGCAAACTGTAACCAAGTCAGGATTGTCAGACAGAGAGCTCTTTAGATGAAATAAATAGCACTAGAAGTACTAATCTGATAATATTAAAAGGATTACCCAGGATTCTTCAAACTAAATATGGGAACCAACTGACATGAAAAATCAGAGAGAGCTGACAGGTCATTAGCTTTGTGGGGCCATCAACAATGAACAATGACAGCTGCAAGATTTTAATGACGATGTCTGTAGCTTGTTTTCCACCCTCCTCAGTAACAGGAGGAACATATGTCTGCACTAGCAACCTGACTAGCTTAAACATAGGCTGGTAATCTGCACGATAAAATGGAGTAGCCTCAGAGAAAAGAGTAAGCACCGCAAAGAAGCAGTAGAACAGAACAAGATAAAACCATAAGCAAATGTACT